AGAGAGAGAGAGAGAGAGAGAGAGAATGAGAGTGTGTGTGTGTGTGAGTGAGTGAGAGAGAAAGAGCATATGTGAGTGCAAGTGTTCATTGGGGTGAGTCAAGAGAATACGAGAGACTGAATGTGTGAATCAACAAGTTAGTGGGGAAAGGGAATTTAGAGAGATTGGGAGAAAAGAAACATTGTCTGCGGCATGGGGATGAAGAGGTACGTCACTGCAATGTTGATTTCGTTGAAATTCTTGATAATCTATAAAGTTCTTTGGACATAATTTGGCGACAATTTTGAACCTTCTAAAGAGAGATATAAATAAATAATGGATAAATAAAGAAGAAAGAAAAGTCGAAAGAAAGAAAAAGAAAAAAATAGATGAAAAGAAAGTAAATTAAAGATAAAAAGAAAAAATAATAAGTAATATTGTGCACCATTTCATTTGAAAATACTGGTAGTTAGGAGGGCAAGAAAAAACCTGTTTGCATAAGTTATCAAAAATCATTTATATACAGCTTCAGGTCCACAAATTTGGTATGGAAATGGCAGAATTTTCAAACCAAAAATAACGCTAAACAGATATAGTTTATTTATGATTCTGCTAAAAATCCAGTTACTAGTTAAATCGAACATGCATAGAGAGGCAATGTATTAGAGAACATAAGCATTTGTAATAATATAAATTCCATTATAATAAAATTTAATATGATTACTATCTTTTTTTTTACAGAGGAAGAACAGGTTGATATACACAAAGCTTCCATGGAAATTAGCACAGGTTTTTACTAAACAAAGAAAAACCTTCCCAGACAAAAGGGAAATTTAAAAGCTTCAATAGACCTTGAAAGACCGGTAAAAATATTAGTTTTTGAAACTTTGTCTCTATATTAATAACAGTATGAAAATATAGACTGTTATACAAATCCTACAAAGGTATGTGTGTACCATGGCATCAAGATCTAACACTTGTGGTAAGACATGTGCACCAAATGTTATATATCTTTTAAAAGCCTATTATGCTTCGGGACCTATCTATTTACATTTGCGAATAATGGGCAACTTCCTAAGTGTAAAGAATCCTGAAAATATGTACAAAAAGGGAAAGGAGAAGAAGGAGAAAACCAAAGACCGTCCCATATGCATTTTAAACGGCAACTTCACTTGGTTCTATCATCGACTTGAGCATGTTCTTCACTGGACGATTCTTCAGGAAACCAAAGCTCAGCTCCTCTGAAAGAGCAAAGAGAAGATAAAAAAACAAGTTGTTTAGATGTATTACAAGCCCAACAATAACAATTGCAAAAAGGAAAGCAAAGAAAGATGGAGACAATCTGCAAATTGCTTACCCACCTATTTCTCTTCTTCTATCTATCCAATCTTATTATCTATAAAAGATTAATATACATTTCCCGCCACAATAAACACTAGTTTATAAACATAAAACAGGCAAAACATCAAGCACTTACCAATAGCAGCATAACAACTCTCTGCCTCAGCTTTGGATGTGCTGATGAAGCTGGATACGACTTCAGCTGTGTAGTTCACCTCCTGCAGCATCAGCGATGCTCGTTCCCTCGCAGTCTGCAGCTCCTGATGGGGAAAAAGAACGAATAAATATTGTCTTACAATTCATGTCTTATACTTCTTGTATGCCATCCACTTCCCCGGAAGTCTGGAATATAATAATAAACAGATCAGCTACTCTGTTTTATATGCATTATTGAATAACCGGTCATTCTTTTTCATAAAGGAAATCTGGGTATATTAAAAACGTCTTTCTGAAGGTTAACTTTATTTGTGAACCTAACCTAGCTTTTCAGAAAGCACTAGAGTTGTTATGCATTACTAAAACTCATTCAGGTGTGAACTGGTGTCTCATGCATTATTCTGATTTCATTATTAAACAGTAGAGTCACACCAACAAGATCAAAATCTGTTGTTTGTGAAGGCAAGATATAAACCTACCTAATAACTTCCAGGATGTGGCAAGTACTTTAAAAGGTTTGTATTAAGTCACTGGATAATACATGACTGGAGCTTGATAAGTTAAACTTATAGAGTAATAATTGAGTTAAATAACAGGTCTCCATGAGTCTTTAGGTAACTCTACATTTTTTTTTTTCTTTGCCTGAAAGTAGTGAAAACCATACTTATGGCATAAGATGTAAAAGCAAAAAACTTAAAACCCACATGTAAGTACTTTGTTTACTCCCTATGCAAGCTTCTTTGAAAACACAGCCTCATACAGATTTTCCCCCCAGTCTTCTGCCAATTCTATGTCAACTTTCTGAAGTCTGAGTGTAATTTTGTTGCAATTCTCTGTACCTGTATGTAATGGTGGTAATTAGGCCTGCTGGCTAGGAGATTGCGATGGATGCTCGTCATCTGCTTGATCTGGTCTTCCTCAATCTTGGTCTCGCCGGACTTTGCTTCACGGAATTCTCTAAAATAAAAAGAGGAGTTTCTTAATCTTCTATTCATACATCATACACCAATGTTATATAGATCTAATTCACAGTAATAATCATAAAAATCTAGGCCAGCTGACTTGAATTGCAACTGGAAATAATCTCAGTTGCAATATTTGCAGTTTGTGTAAGATCTAAGAGGATGCACTTGCCTTTCAGCAGCTTGGTATGTCTGCTTTCTTTGCTTCATTAAGGTTTTCCAAGCCTTGTATTCCTCTTCAAGCTCTCTTGTTTTCTTCTTGTAAACTGCAATTCTTTTGTGAATACTAAAAGTAGAAAAAGAAAAAATAAGTAAAGATTAACATACATGTGAAATCCCAAATAAGATATAGCAAATGCTCTTCCAAACCCTAAGAACACAAATTTTATAAAGAGACACATTTCAAGGAATCCCAAACTTCTCATGGCTTGGACCTACTTCTCTTTGTTGTCTCCCGTCGCAGCAGGAGACGGTGAAGGACCTTCAACGACTAATGGCTGGCCAGCCACCACGTATGACACCTTGGCTGCAATGTCCTCTGACTGGGTTAGGAGGTCCAACCGGAGATCAGAAACACACTCATCCCCCTCTAGCCTCTGTTCCAAACGTCGAAGTGCCTCCCTCACACTAATGTCAATCAAGTGGCTCACCTTTGTAGTCTGCGGCAGAGTCTTTGCAATGCTTTCAATTTGGTCTGTGGAAAGGGACATGGATGAAATTCTCTGTATGTTGTGAAACAGAAGTTATAACCACATTCTACTAACTCTGAACACCAAATGTTCTCGAAGAACACAACTGATCCAAACCCACCTTGCAATGAAAGAACTGGAACTGCTGGACAGAGCGACCTCCGCCCCCCCATGCTCTGAATCGACTTCCTGCCTCTACCCACCGTCGATCTCCTTCTCTTGACTTTATCCATCTCTGTCTGAAGCTCCTTTCTGACCTCAGGAGCTGAGCTTTCCAACGACCCACTAAGATCCGACGCCCCTTGCACAGTCTCATCTGAGGACCCCGAGGTGCTCAGGCTTGTCTCTTTTGGCGCTGTCTTTGGAACGTCAGCTGTCAATTCACTTCCCTCCTCTGATCCCTTACATGTGGTTGCCAGGTCTTCCTCCATCATCTCTGCCTCCTTACTGCTGCTCTTCTCCAAGTGTCCTACTTGTCCTTCGTTCTCTTCAGCCTGGACAATCATGCTCCTGGAGGATGGGACAGGAATCTTCGACCGGGTCTTGGAGTCGTCCCTCGCAGAGCTTCTGGCTCTTCGTGGCGTGGTGATGCATTCTTTCTGTGATGAAGCAGGAGTCTGGCTTCTACTCCTCCTCCTTGTGTTAGGTGTGCATTTGGTTGCCGATTCGCCCTTTGTTGATGAGGGAGTCTTGCTTCTGCTCCTTGGCATGGGCATGGGCGTGGGCGTGGGCGAGGAATTGCCTTCCTGCTTCTCGAATGCGAGTGCCTTGGGCCGGCTCCTCAGTGTGGGTGTGGGCTGGGGGTGTGGAGTATCTTCTTCCTCTGATAAACGGCTCTTAACTTTGTTTCTTGATATCGGTGTGAGCTTTGCCGTGTCAGCACTTCTTTTCTGCGATGTCGGGCTCCTGCTCCTTGTCCTCCTTGGGGTTGGAGTACTGCTTCCTTGGGCCTTGTCATTTTTCTCCACCAGTGGTGTGCGGCTTCTGGTTCTTGGTGTGTTTGCATTCATGTCCTCTTTTTTCTCCAAAGCAGACTGTTTTCCCCTTGATCTCTGGGGTGTTGTTACAACCTTCGGAGGAGAGGCATCCTGGTTCTCTGCCTGGTCATCATGGCGCCTCTTCTCTGACCGCGCTGTTGCTGTATCTCCCGACATGTTCCCTAATTTAATGCAATCACTAGACTGGTCCTGGAGTTCACTTGTTGTGCATGCTTTGCCTCAGCTGCTACCTTGGCCTGCTGAAGAACAAGGGGATTAATACAATACTTTGTGTATGAAGTTCAATGGTGTTTATGAGTTTTATACAATACGAATGCCATATAAAGATAAAGTACATTATAATCTTTGAAACAAGAAAACAAGGGAAGATTCAGCATTTTTCTTTTTCTGCAGTAAAGGTTTCAAAAGGATGAACCTTGTATATCAATTAAATATCTATTGTTTAAACTGGTAGACATCTGAACTGATACCAGTATAGTGTTAATATTAGTAAATAAATCTTGGCTTCAATTCTCTTCATTACAAGTTTGCCATCCAATTTATTCTCTAGATTATTCTTTTCTATCTCTTGTATCATATTACAAAAGTGATTTAAAAATATGGTTTTTAAAAGAGGGAAACTGGCATACTCAGTAATTGCTCAGAATAGGACTGCAGTGCTGTAGTAATGCCATGGCAACTGGCAAAATAGATGTTGGGTTGATTTCTTATATATTTGAAAATAAAACATCCATCATATAAATTGGAAAAAAATATATAATTAGTGGCATGCATATATAGATTCACTGCCCCTGATGAACAATTAGGCTCTAACTTTTTTTTTTTAAATTTTTGGCAGTAGAGTTATTTCATGTTCTTTACTGTCATTCCCTCTG